AGAGGAGAGAGCCCAGGATCCCCATGGGCCAAATAGTGGGATATCAGTCCAACGGCTCCCTGCAAACCGGTAGCTGAGGCATTGCTTCTGTGTGGCTCAGATGTTACATGCACGCACTCATCGGCCCCGCATCCTGTTGTCCCTGTAACAGAGGGTTGGCTCGAATCCCAAGCTCCATCCCATCCTCTTGGTCAACTCTTTGTTTCGAAATCAGGCATGACCCCACCTCAGACGCATAGGGCGAGCCTCCTTGCGCATAGCACGTCTAGCCCGAGTGCAGCTCTCCTCCAATGGCGCCGCACACAGATGTCTTGGACTGCGCGTCCTTATCTGCAGCGAGATACGCACAGGTTCCAATCCATGCAGAGCCTCCCACTGAATTTGTGTTGGGACAAGCTAGCTGGTGAGAAAAACCGATTAGGGGGACAGAGTTCGGCCCTCCCTGGCCAAGACAGGGCATGCTTCCGGGAATGGAAACTGCAGGGAGCCGCAGGAGGAAGGCAACCATGTCGGGTACAACGAGCTAGGAACACTATGGGCAGCAACAGGCTGAAACTGGTGATCGGGCCCCAATGCGCTAGTCACCAGTTGGTCCATAGTTTGATCCGAAACCTGGACATGTCCCAGCGGTTCACCGTGGCTCTATCGATCTCCATCACAAAGCCAAATCCCTCCAGAGCCACCTCTACCGAGCGACTGTACCACAAAACCAAAGCCAAAGCTCAGTGTTACTAATGTAAATACCTTCATATATATTACTAGCTAAAGATATAAAACCATCCTCGAGACAAAAATAAGCTAGAAAGCCATGTTTTCTAGCATGTTGTACACGGTATCTACATTATAAACTATTTTATGCAATACGTTGATCATTCATATGTAATAATCAAGTTTTTTTTCCAATAAAGGGCATCTTTATTGACTCATAATGCAATATATAGGGCATACAGAAGACGATGAACACATACCCGAGGTCTGTATAACTATGATGCACACAACAAACAACAATGCATGCACATAAAGGATCACGTCAGCCAAGAGCAATGTCATGGTTGTGTGCATCCTAACTATGGATAGGCCGAATGTGTGCTCATTGTGTTTGTATCCTCCTGATGCTCCATTTAAACTAATAGAATCAACCATTTATAGAAAAAAAGAGCAAAGTCATACAAAACCGAAGCTAAGCATATGCAGAGGAGAAAGTAAAAGAAATTAAAAAAAGAACAACAATGATCTGCATTGAATTGCTGCTGACACATTAAAGATGTAGGCGCCACGATTTGGATATGGGCACAGAAACAGAAAACCGTGCATCACCAAGCAATTATCCTGACCACCAAGAGTTATCCACAAAGATGAGGACCAACAATGCCCATGCGACGATGGTCGCAGATTAATTGGTGAGAGGGAACCGCACCGCCAAAATCTCACATTAGTACGCTTTGGCAATCCCACGCCTTCGTCATGAATGTACGTCGGTGGTTAATCTTGGCATGGCCACCGGTCTCCACATGATACACCAGGAGCCGACATCGCACTGCCATGGCCACAATCTGTCGTGACTAGCTCCGTCATGGTCTGGCCATCCGCATCCTTGGCCTCGCCAACACCGCCGACATGAATCATGTCCACCATGCCACACCGCCATGATAGATCGTAGTTGCCGCCTAACACGCCACTTCCACGCCTCATCCACTCACATCTATGCACCGGAAAGACAGGAAAGCAACAAATGCGGTGCATACCACTAATGCCTCAACCAGACCAACTCCAAAATGATAACAGAAGTGATGTCCTCGTCTGGTTTGAGGGATTACGAGCCTAGGGTTTCCCCTAGTGCAATAGGGATGGGAGAAGAGAACGACATCAATGACACCTTCATCACGGTAACGACTCTTGCGGGTACTACTGTCATCGGCCCGGACCGTGTTCGATCTAAGCTTACACCATCTATGTTGACTCCCAAGCCTGTAGGTTGGCTGGTCCGCCTGAACCACCACCCATTCTATCCTCCTCGCTACAGAAAAGACCCACAACAGGATCATAGGGACCCATGTCCGTCGGATCAGGAACTACCGATCGGGAGAGGCGTAGCCCAACATGGTCACTAGTCGGGCCACCACCGGGAGGACCTTCAAAGCTGCGAGGCGGCCATACCAAGAAACTAGAGCATGGGCATGTCACTGGTAGACGCAGTCTAGTCCCATCTAGCCAAGAGCCCCACCCAGATAGATATGCAATTCCAGATCAAGGGATGGGCTGTGCAACAGCTTCGGGAAGCCACATTTGGCCACCACATGAAGGGTCATCAATGACTGGGACGCCGCCATGCCGAGCAACTTGAGCAGGGGCACGACACCGGACAACGCCTGGATTGCACGCCACCGAGAGTAGAGACGTCGGGACAGGACACCACTATCCACATGCCTTGTCGTTGCCTAGGAACCACAACTCGAGGGAGGAGTTTGGCCCATGTACGGCCGCTACAGCTTGAAGAACCATCAGGGAAAAAGGCATCGCGTGCAGCGAAAGATATCCTCTCCGCATCGGTCGTGGCACGAGCTTAGAGCCGCTTCCTCTTATGGCGGCTAGGGGATCCGGACGACATGAGTGGTAGCAAGTTGTGGCGGCTAGCCTTCCCATGTGAGAGTGGTGCGGGGGTGGTTTGTTTGAGACTTGTCGGTCTTTAAAGTTGGGAGAGAATTTCACTTCTATCGGCCTCTACATCAATTAGGGATGAACACAAACATTTTGGCATTAGTACCATGCTGATTTTTATCTCAATATTATCGAAAAAAGCCCCCCCCCCTTTGTATTCCAAAGCACCAAGACCGAACACAGAGCATACGCTGGGGTGAGCAGCACAACAAGCCAAAGAAAAAGAATAAGAAACAATGCCAACACCGGCAGCTCGACAAAGCGCGGATGACCCATTACCACTGCGCCCTCCGAAATTTACCCACCACGATCCTAGGCTCCGATCCTCCGCGTACCAAGCAGCACCTCCAGGAAGGAATGCGACGCCGACGACGCTGCTGCCCAGATGTGTCCTAGGGTTTCCCCCGACACACGGAGGGTAGAGGGGAATGAAGACCACCGACACCCTCCAGGGAGGAATGGTGGCACCCGCAGGCATCACCGCATCGTAGCTAGAAGACCCGGAAAGGATTTCTCCCAACTCCAAACCACACCGCCCAACCGGATAGGAGCCAACCAGCCAGCCCGCCGCCCACCAGCATGCGTCACCACGGACGCAACACCACCCACGCCGCCTCACTGAGATCACCACCACGAGGCCAAGAGAGCGAGGAGAGGAGGCGTTGGTCGACGGGAGCAGCAGCGCCGTAGCCGCGCGGGAGGGAACCACCTCCTCTGCCGTCGTGCAAGAAGCTCGTGCCTCCGGCACCGTCGCGGTCGCCATTCGAACGCAGCAGCAGGGCATACCAGGCCACTCCTGGCCCAGCCAGGCCCGAATCGGGCCCGCTAAGCCCCGCCGGCCACGCTGCAGTAGTGCGCCGCCAGCACCGCCAGCCCCCAACGCCCATCGCCGCTCCCCCGCCTTCTGGAGGCCAGGCCGACGACCCGCCCCGCCGTCAGCCTGCCCAGACCCAGATGGGGCCCAAAGGGCCCATATCTGAGCCGAGGGGGCGCCGCCTAGCCGCGCCGCTGCGCCACCCCGCCGCCAACGGCGATGCCGCCATCCAGTCGATCTCCCGTGCCGCGCTAGGAAGCCCCGCCGCCACGTCAGACCGCCGCCGCCTAGGGAGCACCCCCTGGCGCCCTCCGCCCCGCACCGGAGAGCAACTAAGAGGGGAATGGCCGGGGCCGCCGCCACCAGCGTCGCCCGGGCCAGGTACGACGGCGAACGCCGACGAAGGCGCTGGGGAGGGGGGAATGAGGGAGAG